GGATGTAGGTATTGTAATGGCTTAAAGGCCTTCGGCCTAGCCACATAGGATCAAGTAAGCCAATTTGTTTGTAATAATTACCTATTAATAAAAATAAATAATTTTCTCCGGTGTAAAAAATACGACCAGGTGTACTTATGTATGATACTATTTAATGAATGCATGCTTGGGAATGGGTATTCCGATTCCCTTAACGAAAAATGTTTGTTATTTTCAGGTTATTGATTTCCAGGCAGTGCACCAAAGCCATATGTGCTGTAAACGCACATCGTGGATGGCTTTGTCGGGAATTCAACGCTCCAGGACTCTTCACAATATAAGGAGAGTATCGCACATTAGTCATAAAAATGTAATATTTTTAGGATGCATAAATATTCAAGAGTATTAGTTGTACATGCACTCTGTAATCCGTGCAGCAATACAGAACGGCAAATATGATTCCGATCTGCGAAATCGGATCAAAGGGATTAGGGATTTTTTCTATTCTTAGTCCAATGTCACACACAAGGATGATTCCTGCACGTAATAGGACACGTGTTCTTTTTTCCGTGTAAGAGCAGTGTGTAAGAGCTGGAGGAATCAACCCAACACGAACGCATTGAAAGCCGACATTTCGAGCATACACCAACTATGCAGAATTTCCCAATGAAGCAAGAAAAGTGCTCAATTTTGCATCCTCAAAATATAGCAGAAATTTCCCTACATTAAATAACTAATTCGTTTTCTGTGTGTGTTGTAGAGATAGAAGTGTGTTACATTTTTTCTTTAAATCACAAAACTGTATGCGACGTGTGGAAGAGAAGTATAATCTCCTTTTTTTTTTTGGAGATTCAGGTTCTTTGTAAGTACTACCCGAGTATTCAGTGTTAATGTATTTTGCGTGAGGATCAAGTAACCAAGTGCGAAGGTGGATTAATGACACTCCAGAAACATGAAACTCTAGAAACACAGTTTGGACATTGAAGGCTTATTAATATTATAAAATACACAAAACAGTCTTTAGTATTCAAATTGTGTAGCATTATATATAACGAGAACAAGTGTAGATGCGTTTTGCTAATTAATTTTGAAGGATATTACAAGTGTAGTAGAATCACGAAAGACTAGGGGTATAGGAAATGATAGTTTTTGATGTATTAGTAATTTTTGTGGTAGTTTTATTGTAACGAATCTGCCTTACGATCAATGTGAAATATTGGAAATACGATAAAAAAATTAAAATTCATGTGTCTTGCTATTTGAATTACATCTGGTTGGAAGCAACTTTTTTTATTTTTAACAATTTGAGTTGTCGTACCAGGTGTCACAAATCAGAGGTGACAGGTTGGTACCTGCCGCATTAATGTGACATCGTTTATTAATTTTCTGCCTATTTTACAATGTAATTGCTGTAATTAATCATAGCAATTGTATCACTAATAATCGTTTCAATAATTTGTTCTAGAAAATTGCTTTTCATGCAGTAAACAAACAAATGATCTGATAATTTACTACCTAGAATGAATTATAGTAGAGAAAAATTCAAGTGTCAGTATTGATGTAGCAGCAGTCGAATATAATTTGACATGTACCGATTTCCGAAATTACAGAGAATTTATTAAAAACTGAACCTACACCACCTTATTAAAGAAAAGGTCCTCCGTTGCAGCGTGAATGAAGAATGGACGCATTGTGCTATTCAATGATTTGGGATTTTCTTTCCTTTCACTCTGGCCTTCAGGTTCAGGCGGAGGTGGCCTGCAGCACAAGAGATACAGTTGGCAGCAACTAACAGGGGGGAGAATGGGGACTTCCGTGTGACGTATGGGTAAGAAGATAATGACTGAGGAAGGAATAGTTAAACGCTGAAAGGAAAATGGTTTTACCGGTGATCATTAACGTAAGAACGTTTTTGAAACTTGTTTTACCTCCTTGTATACTGTACTTTGATTTACTTACAGTTATGAATGTTTTTTTTTACTTTAGACTCAATTATCAAAGAGTTTTTTTGTTATTTAAGGTCGCATCAACTACTAGGTCATTAGCGACCACTATTGCTTGTAACGGTATGGTAACTGTGGGTTGACAGGATAATAATGATGATAGAGAGTGAAAGGACGAAACACAATACAACCATGCCCGAGGCGGGACTCGAACCCGCGATCCTTCGGTCCGAGTTCGCTATGGCACTACTGCCTTAGCGAAAGATTTTTGTACAATACGAAAATTATAATATGTCATCGTAAATTTGTCTTAAATGAACGAGTGCACCTGAAAATAAACCGCTCGGTATGAGATGTCAGCTAAATCCAATTTTGAATAGGATTTTATGATTAATAAAAAGACAAGCTATTAAAGAAAATAAACCCCGAAATATCTCTGGGGCTTAAATAGTCATATAAAGATATCTAAATTATAACTTCTTTTGAGTGAGGACACCAGTTTTATTTGTGAAAATCATTACAAATCGTAGAATTGGTGTAAAAACTAAATATTTTTCATCCAATATAAATACAAATTAGAGAATTATAAGTGTTTATCTTACAGCTAAATATGATCACAACAATATGACCTAATATTGGACGTGTGATTTTGGTGCGGGTGAGTTTCCCTCTCTTTTGGTGCGTGTGAGTTTCCCCCTCTTTTGGTGCGTGTAAGTTTCCCTCTCTTTTGGTGCGTGTAAGTTTCCCTCTCTGTTGGTGCGTGTGAGTTTCCCTCTCTGTTGGTGCGTGTGAGTTTCCCTCTCTGTTCCCTCTCTCTCTCCTCTCTCTCTTCCTCTCTCTCTCCCTCTTCTCTACTCCTCTCTCTCCTCCTCTCTCTCTCTTCCCTCTCTCTCTTCCTTCTCCTCACCTCTCTCGTGCTCCCTCTCTCTCTCCCTTCTCTCCCTGTCTCTCTCTCCTCTCTCTCGTCCCTCTCTACTCCTCTCTGCTCTCCCTCTTTCTCCCTCTCTCTCTCTCTCTTCTCTCTCCCTCTCTCTCTCCCTCTCTCTCTCCTCTCTCTCTCCCCCTCTCTCTCTCCCTTCTCTCATCCCTCTCCTCTCCCTCTCCCTCCCCTCTCGGGTCTCTCCCTCTCTCTCTCCCTCTCTCTCTATCCCTCTCGTCTCTCCCTCCTCTCTCTCCTCTTCTCTCTCCCGCTCTCTCTCTCCCTCTCTCTCCTCCTCTCTCTCTCTCCTACTCTCTCTCCTCTCTCTCTCCCTCTCTCTCTCCTCCTCTCTCTCTCCTCTCTCTCTCTCGCATCTCTCCTCTCCTCTCTCTTCTCCCTCTCTCTTCTCCTCTCTCTTCTTCTCTGCTCTCTTCTCTCTTCTCTTCTCTCCCTCTCTTCTCTCCCTCTCTCTCTCTCCCTCTCTCTCTACACCTCTTCTCTCTCTCTCTCTCTCTCTTCTCCCTCTCTCTCTCGCCTCTCTCCTTCATTCCCTCTCTCCTCTCTCTCCGGTCTTCACTCCCTCTCTCTCTCCCTCTCTCTCTCCCGTCTCTCTCTCCCTCTCTCTCTCCCGTGCTCCTCCTCTCCTCTCTCTCTCCCTCTCTCTCTCCCTCTCTCTCTCCCTCTCTCTCTACCCTCTCTCCTCTCCTTCTCTCTGCTCCCTGTCATCTCTCTCTCCTCTCTCTCTCTCCTCTCTCTCTCTCCCCTCTCTCTCTCTCCCTCCTCTCTCTCCCCTCTCTCTCTCCCTCTCCTCTCTCCCTCTCTCTCGTCTCCCTCTCTCTCTCCTCGCTCTCTCTCCCTCTCTCTCTCTCCCTTCTCTTCTCGTCACCTCTCTCTCGTCTCCCTCATCTCTCTCTCCCCTCTGTCTCTCCTCTCTCCTCTCCCCTCTCTCTCTTCCCTCTCTCTCTCGTCCCTCTCTCTCTCTCCTCTCTTCTCTTCTCGTCCCTCTCTCTCTCTCCCTCTCGCTCTCTCCCTCTCTCTCTCTCTCCCTCTCTCTCATCCCTCTCTCTCTCTCCCTCTCTCTCTCTCTCTCTCTCCCTCTCTCTCTCCCTCTCTCTTCTCCCTCTCTCTTCCCTCCTCCTCTACCCCTCGCTGGTTTCTCTCTCTCTCTTTCCCTCCCTCTCTCTACCCCTCGTGTTATCTCTCTCT